AGAGAGAAAAAGAGAGAGAGAAAAAGAGAGAGAGAAAAAGAGAGAGAACAGAGAGACAGAGAGAGAGAAGAGAGAGAAAAAGAGAGGGAGAGGAGAGAGGAGAGAGGGAGAGGAGAGAGAGAAGAGAGACAGAGAGAGAAAAGAGAAAAGAGAAGAGACAGAGACAGAGAGAGAGAGAGAGAAAGAGAGAGAAAAGAGAGACGGGGGAATGGGGTGAGGGTGGAGAGGGGGTTGGGGAAAAGGGAGGAAGGGATGGGGAACAGTGGGGGTTGGAGGGGTGAGAAGGGGGAAGAAGCAGCAAAAGAAGCAGAGGTTATAGATGCAAAAAGACTAGTGAGAGAGGGAGGGAGATATATATATGTATTCATTCCCTTCAGACTGTTACTTTTTTCCAATAAGATTATAGGTCACCTGCATCTCAACCAAATTCACCGAATCCAGTTTTGAAGCTGCTGCAGGAAGATTTGAATTCACAACCTTGGGCTAGTCCAGCATCATCATCCACAGTGGAGCTGAGAGAACAGCCGACATCGTGTAAAACAATAAGAAAGATGTAACCACGACTCAAAGCTGCCACAACTATTGTATTTACTTACCTTCATAGCAGTCCCGGACAGTGTCAAAATACACATAGTACTGGTCATTGGTGAAGAACAACAGACTCAGCCACGAGTCAAAAGCATAGATGGGGACAATGAAGAGGATTCGAACGATGTAGCGCTGCTCATTTGGGGTGCTGTAACATCGCAGGTGCATGTAGATCTGCCAAGACAAAACGAGACAGCGTTGTCAGCACAGGGGAGGGGAGGGCTGCAGAGTGGAACAGAGCCAAACGTGGGGCAAGCTTAAAATAATTGGCAGCACAGAATTTCCATCACAGAATACTACGGCAGAAAATAAAGCTGAAAACGAACATTTAAAGCTGTGAAACTGGGTTATTAAGTCTTTCAGTCCACCCTTGGTTGTTTGCCAGATTCTACAATAAATGTTTCACTTCCAAATTGACAGCAGGTTTAGAGGACAACATGATTAACTACTCTCCTTTAATCTTTTACGGGATGCAAGTGTCACTGTCCCTAACGGACCTTGAACTAAGTGGCTTGCTAGCACATCTCAAGAGTCTCGTGTCAGCCAGGCGAGGGCCAGAAGGGAGGTCTCCTTCCCTCAAAAGGTCATTAGAGAACCAGATTCAACATTGTCCCCATCAGAGAGACTAGCTTTACATTCCAGGTTTATTTAAAATCAGTTTTAGGTTCCACTCGCTCTCATGGTGGGATTCGAATCCACGGTCCCATAGCCTCTAGATTACTAGGCTGTGACATTTACAGCATACTATCACCACCCGCCTACATTACTGCTTTAATTCCCAAAATTAGGAGCAGTTATCCTTTAGAGATCATCTCCCAGATTGCATGCTTTACCCAGCAAGGGGGTAACTCCACAGGAGGTCACAGTGAGCTGCCAATTTATGTTGCTGATCCTTTTTTGTCTGAAGGAGTCACATGGTTCCACATGGGAAAATACAGAACTGTCCATAACAGGACTCTGGTCACTTTGCAGGTTGCAGCTTGGGGCCTGTGGTTCTGCATTGCGCCAAGAACGGACCCTCCAGGACTGTCCTGTCGTCTGCAGCAGATCTCAGTCTGGCACTGGCGTGAACGCACTCCACAAATAAACCATCGGGATGTCTTTTTTTACCAAAGGAGATAAAAGTTGAGTTAATTAACAAAGGTTGGGGATGGTGGGAAGAGGAGGAAATGGCTGTTCGACAGTCCGGAAGTATCCAGTGGGACATCGTGGGACAGCTCCAACAACAAGCTGCTTGCTTTATTGCTAACCCAACATTCCATCTCTTCACCACCAACACAGTTACCTCAGTTAGTTGGATGGCTGTTCCATAATGCAGTGATTGCAACGATACAGGTTCAATTCCCGTGCTGGCTGAGATTCCCATGAAGACCCAGCCTCTCCTTTGGTGACCCTTTGGCTAACCTCCCCACCATCTTGTCCTCTCTAGGTTGTATGGTAACTCTTTCGCATGGGCAGCAAGACAGACTGCGTTAAACCACCAAGTCTCCTTTGACAGCACTTTCCAAATCCATGGCTGCTAATCCCCATAAGGGCAGAAACATGGGATCACCGCACTCTGCAAGTTCCCCTCCCGAGCCACGCAGCATCCTGACACAGGAAATATTTCACTGTTCCTTCAGTGTCGCTGGGTCAAAATCCTAACGACACTGAGACTGCAAAAAAGGCAGCTTGCCACCTTTGAGGGATATTAGGGATGGGCTGTAAAGGCTGACTCAGCCAGCGATGCCCGCATTCCCATGAAAGATTAAGGTAAAATAGAGAGAGTTTACTGTCACTGTGTGGATGGATGAGTTGGGCAGTCAGTGACAGGAAGTTTGTTTCGTTTGTGTGAACGTAACTTTAAAAAAAAAAGGTGCAGGAGCAGACCATTCGGTCCATCAAACCCACTCTGCCGTTTGATACGATCTTTAGCTTCAACTACAATTTCCCTTCTATGTCTAAACTCAGTTTCCCCCCCCTCCGACAGATAAAATATCCGTCTCTCAGCTTTACCTGTATTCACCAACAAAGCCTCCATAATCCTCTGGCTAGGAAGCTCCATCGATTAAGAATCCTTTTGAGTGAGGAAGCTTCTCCCTATCTCTGTCCTATATGGTTGGCCTCCTTATCCTGAGGCTTTGCCTCCATGAGGGGGAAAGAGGTGATTGCAGACAGGAAGGCATGACATGCCCTAACTAGAGCTGGCAAGCCAACTATAATAAGCCAGAGTACCCCAAGACGTGTCAAATCACAGGACTATCCGAGGCCCTTTTCTGGAATATTCAGAATTTCCAGACTGTGTGGGTATGTATTAGCATTATTGCAAGGAGGAGACCATTTGGCCCATTAAGTATATGCCCAGGTATCTTGGTGTAACCCAGTCAGTCTCATTCTGTTGTGTCCCTGGCCCAGTACTGTATACAGTACTCCACATGTGGTCTCGCCAAAGCCCAAATTAACTTAAGCATAACCTCCCTACTTCCATATTCAATTCCCCTCACAAACAATAATATTCCATAGGGTTGTTCTCTCATTACAGAGTGATGACCAGTGGTGGTTTAACCTGACAGTCACCACGCCTCAGGGGAGGAGAGAGGTTGAGATGGAGAGTCCTTCAATGGCAACCTCAGCTGAACCCAAGTTGTTGGTGTCAGTAGGCATTGCCAAATCCAGCCTTCTGAACAGCGTATCTGCCAATACAAGATGAGCATCAAGCAGGTAACAGAAGATTGGGCAGTGATGTTTTTAAAAATTCTTCCATGGGATGTGGGCATCACTGGCAGTACCCACTGCCCCTCCCCAAGGCACGGTGGTTCAGTGGTTAGCACTGCTGCCTCACAGCACCAGGGACCCGGGTTCGATTCCACCCTCGGGCGACTGTCTGCGTGCAGTTTGCACATTCTCCCCGTGTCTGCGTGGGTTTCCTCCCACAGTCCAAAGATGTGCAGGTTAGGGTGGATTGGCCATGCTACATTGCCCCCTATAGTGTCTAGGGCTGTGCAGGCAAGGTGAGTCAGCCATGGGAAATGCAGGGTTATTAGGGTAGTGTGGGGAGGTGGGGCTGGGTGGGATGCTCTTTGGAGAGTCTGTGTGGACTTGATGGGCCTAATGGCCTGTTTCCACAATGTAAGGATTGTAAAATTCTATACACAGGAACAAAAACAAAAGTTGCTGGAAGAGCTCAGCAGGTCTGGCAGCAATTGGTGAAGGTAAAAAAAGAGTTAACGTTTCAGGTCTGGTGACCCATCCATGGCCGATTCAGAGGGTGGTTAAGATCCAACCACATTGTTGTGCGTCTGGAGTCACATGGAGGCCAGACCAGGTAAGGACGGCAGATTTCCCTCCCTGAAAAGGATATTAATAAACCAGATGGGTTTTTAAAATCATGATCAGTACTATTCAGACTAACACTCAATGTCAGATTTATTAGTTGAATGTTAATCCCGTAAGTTGCTGTGGCGGGATTCGAAGCAGTGATGCTACAGTACTAGTCTGAGCCTTTAGATTACTGGTCCAGTGATATTATCATGATTTTACCATCTCCCTCTGCCACTCTTGGAATGAGAGAGCAGGGCGAATATCAGGAAAGCAAGGTACTAAAATCCATAATGTGCTCCAATATGATGACCACTTACTCCTCTCTCTGGGAGCGACTCACACCATAAATTTAAAATCCAATAAGCATTGAAAGTAGGAAGTGTATTTTTACTTTTCCGTATTTTTTAAATGGTGGATTGGAATGCGAAAAAGATGGTTTTAAAAATCAAGGACTACTGTTTTTTTTTTACAAGCAAGCAAGCTGACACTCATCATAAGCACTGCTTATACAGCTACTGGTTCAAGCAGGAGGTGGTACAGATGAACTAGGATATGTACAAATGGAGTTCAGGCCAGTATCTGATTAACTGGTCTCTAGTCCATAGGCAGAAAGCCTTGGTCATCGATTGGTCTAACAATAGCGCAATTAACAGCTCAGGTAGCTGAACAGACTGGGACTGTGGAAGAGATAGGGAGGTGCCATCAGATTCCCACAAGCTCAGGAGGTCTCTCTGTTCTCTGCAGTAAAACCACCTTAAGCACAAAGAAAACCAGTTCATGTTTCCCTCAGCGCTTACTGTAAGCTCTGATTTTTTAAATGAATGAGTCAGAGACCTTTCTAGATGTTTGAACCTGTACACCGATGAAAGCATCCGGGAGAAGGGAGGAAGACCGGAGAAACAGCATTCAGAGCAGTACAAGAAAATCCCAGCAGATCCTGTGATGTGAAACCACTGCTCTCCCATTTATCCCTCCACCCACAATACCCAAGTTGTTTTCCTGTGTGTGTGTCTACACATGTGCAAGGGGGAAGTTTATAAAGGAGGAGGTTAGGCTTTTAACTAATAGCTGTTGACAGCTCAAGTTTGTTTTTGTCTTTTTGTGATGAATTAGACTAATAAAGATAATAAATAACAACCTTTGTTAAGTACATATACCTGATTTGCACCTCATCAATCAGAGTCTGAGAATCAGGTAAATTGAGGAATTTTGCTTAGTTCTATAGAATCGTTAACTTTTGTACAGGCTCCAAAAACAACAGGACTCCATTTCCAGTGTACTGCCCCACTGAGGTGTAGCAGAGTGGAAGTGGGTCAAGTGAAATGAAGGGCAAAGTGGATTCCAAAAACTAAAGAGGCACTTCTTCAAATTGACGGTGGGGAAAAGGAAAGAGACAGGAGACAGCTACAACTAAGATTTAGATCAACGCACCTAGGCCCACTAGTCTGCAAACATACACCACCTCTACAAGGTGATAAACGAGCACAAAGATGGGCTGATCTTAAACGGATCAACAATACACCATTCCAAAGAGAACCTACCCAAAGAAAACACCAGCCCTGGCAAGATAAGGTTAGGTTTTGTTTAAAGACAAACAGATTTAAAAACATTGCACAGAGTCACACAGCACGGAAACAGACCCTTCGGTCCAACCCGTCCATGCTGACCAGGTTTCCTAAACTGAACTAGTCGCATTTGCCTCCATTTGGTACATTTCCCACGAAATCTTTTTTCCATGTACCTGTCCAAATGCCTTGTAAATGTTGCAATTGTACCAGCCTCCACCACTTCCTCTGGCAGCTCATTTCATATACGCACCACCCTGTGTGAAAAAGTTGCCCCTCAAGTCCCTTTTAAATCCTTCCCCTCTCACT